GGGGAGGGAGTAATAGGGGAGGGTGGCCGTGCAGCAGGCAGGTGGACACCCATTCAGTGAGTAACACCAAGGAGGCATACATAATGCCCAAAAGCCCTGCGCAATAAGGCGGTTTGGGGCGAGGAAAAGGTCCAGAATGGTCAAAGAGGGGAATTAGAGACTAGATAGGGGCGTCGCCCACGATTCGGGGTCTGTCATAGCCGAAAGGCTCGGTATGGACGTTAAACTTGAATAATAATAATAATAATAATAATAATGGTCCCAGTCGAATGTGATCCAATTTTGCACTCGGCCATTTTAGTTTTGATGTTTTGTTGTAGAAGGTAAACTTTCTCCCCCACCTTGAGATCTGGTCCCTCAGATCTCTTTTTATCATAGTATGTTGCTATTCTGAGGTTCACAAATTCAATATCTCGTTGCATCATTGTGTGCATATGCTGTAGATTGTCTGTCCATTTTCTTGCCAGTAGCGCTTCTTCTTGTTGATTCAGAGGTTTGTAGGCCAGTTGAGGATGATATCTGTAATTCACATAGAAGGGTGTTTCTCCAGTTGTCGAGTTGATTGCATTGTTGTATGCGAATTGTGCAATTGGTAGAATATCAACCCAATTGTCCTGGTCATAGTCAAGATAATGTTGGAGGTATTGTTCGATTGTCTGGTTGGTTTGCTCAGTTTGTCCATCAGTTTGAGGATGATATGAGGTGCTGAGTCTATGCTCTACCCCCAACAAATTATTATTATTATTATTATTCTTCCATTTTAGAGAGCGTTTTTCAGTCAGAGACTATGCACGCTCTGCCTACCACCTAGGCAGTAGGGCTTAGTAGCTAATATCTATATACAGGTGGGTTATGCTATAGACCAGTCAACAGTGGGAACCTTCTATGAGGGACAGAAATAGGGAATGAGAGACAGGCTGTAGTATAATGTAAGAATCAAATGTTAAGGAACAGTAGGTATAGGTGGATTTAACAAAGAAAAAGAAATGAGAGAAAGAACAGAAAAAAAAAAAAAGGGAGTACAGGATAGGAGAGGTGGCTTAATAAGCATGATTAGATAATCTATGCCTAGTAAGCCTGGTTCTATGGGTTAGACTAGGTAGTAGGGTTCTTGCTTAATCAT